ATAAATAACTTCTAATATAAACAAATGAGAACATATCAAACTGTTACCTCTTTAAACATAATGTAAATAAAAAAAATACCAGTCCTTCTACACAATAAATATTAAGAAACCATTGACATAGTTGAAATGTACTCATATAAATTAACAACTTTAATTACATTAGCCGAACAGACGTTGGTTAAAGCACTGCATGTAGTATGCAAAATAATAATAACAATAATAATAATAATATCAACAATAAAACACAAAATGATAAAAACAAAATAGGCTTCATAATATCTTGGCTTTCATAATTTATATATATATATGTATATACATATATATATTGTTGTGTGTATATATATATATTGTAGATATATATATAATATGTATATATACATATACATATATATCTTCAATCCATCGTCAATGTATTGTTTTTGAAAGCATTTAAATACAAAAAAAAGAGAATTAATACAAATTCACTGTATCTCGAAAAATAAATAGCTATATAACCCAGAAGTGTTGTTTTGTTTCTGCCCATCAAAATGTTGCTTCTAATTGTTCACAAAAGGTCAAATTATGTTATTTACTCATACTGATAAGCTTTTTACTCCACATGTGATGCAACAACAGCATATGGGGAGTAAAGTTCTTCTCAGTTTAAGGAAAGTGATTAGCATCTTCTTCTTATACTGATGCACAATTTTGACATGAGGTTTAACTTAAGGAACTTAATAATTGCCACCACATTTCTTTTACCTACACTCCAGAAATAGATTCTGCCCACTTTGTTCCTTCTCTTTAGGAAAGGAGACTCTCTGAAATCAACAGCATTGCTTACAGAGTAAGGCACTATTCCACATGAGTAACTATAGTCCATAAAAATGTACACTTTGCACACAGACTTTACAGATGCCTGAATTTCTCTAATTCAGAGATATTGCTGATAGCCTCTCCTTGGCTTTGTGGTGTTACAGTTAAATGAATCTGATGGCTTGAACCTCAACTGAATACAAAAAAAAAGCAGGTACTTACAGTAGAGTACTATTTTGCAATGATCGGTAAGAGACTGTTTCTATTGAAGTCAATGACAAAACTCCCATTTTGTTCAGTTCTACGCTTTTGGACCCTAGATCAGTATTCTGCTGTGACATAAAACTGCAGAATAATTGTAAGCATCTGTAAGCATTTCCTTCTTCAAAACCCCAAGAATACAAATACATTCAGCCCTCCCAAAGCAATTTTTCAGTGTGCATTTCTGCCAGTTCCTTAGGCCTTGTATAAAGTGAGCGTCTGACCTAGGGAGGGGGAAAGACGAGCAAATGTGGTCAACCATGAAGCAAGAAGATTGTGGAGGCACAGAACAAATACATTGCAATGATCAAATATATACTGAAAATAGATATTTAACTATAAACAGGAAATGGGTTTTATGGAAAGGAATGTGTTAGTAGTTAAAGGCTTTTTGGGAAGGGGTGTACTAATACCTGAAAGGAGAAGTTATTTCTGAGACTGCATGCCCTTGCAGAACTGGTCAAATATGGTAACAATTTCTAATGCTATTTTATATACATGCAGACTTAATTAAACCAAATTATCAGGGCTGGGGTGTTTTGCTGGAATCAGTCAATCTTGATTAACATCCTGATTTCTTATTTTATTTTATCATAAACTTTTTCATTTCCCCCTGCTTTAAATAACTGTGACCACAAATCAAAACCCCATGACTGAATCTGGAGATTGGAGGGAGAAATCTTTAAAATTTGAGAATAGTGTACACACAAATGAAAGCTAAAGAGCAGAGCTTAGGAATGGTTACTGGCTGATTTGGAAACCTTTTGTTTTTGCTGCATCTATCATGTAACCCGCTCACAACATCTAAATTCCTCTCCTCTTTCCTCACTTGGGAATTGTCTCCTGCTAGCTTCATGTTCTCCAGGGCTGGTCCCTGTTCACCACATAAAAGGTTGCAGTCAAAATTAGCATCAGTGCCCAACTCGTTTCTAAAGGCTCAGTTTTCTTGACCAGGAAAACAGTGAGCCTCATCTCACTCTACTTGCCATCCAGGGAGTTTTGCTGTTGTTGCTCAGGGATTTCAAGTGTCTGTAGCTAGTCAAACCTGAGGACAATTTGTGCAGACACGAGCCACCTCACCTGCCTCCCTTGCCACTAAAGTCATAGGTAATGTCCCTGCCTCTAGAATGCCAGCCTGACTCTGCTTCCCAAAAAATCAACAGCAATCCTGCCACTTGCTTCCTGTGCAGCAGCAGGGGCAGGAGCTTGGTTTGTTTGAGTTATGGAAATAAATTAATTGTGCATCTTTTAAAATTCTTTTTTATTCTTTTTTTCCCTAGTAGCATTTGGCATCCCTCCCTCCTTCTCCCCATGAAGAAAATACGAAAACCCAAACAAACTTCTGCGAATAATTTAAATCAGAAAGCCTTGATATTTTACAGAATGCTTTAGTGACAAATTTAGTGTTTACCCAATTGTTACAATTTTTATAATTTTTTTTTGTTTTTGTTTTTTTTGCAAACTGCAAACAAGTCTGTAAAAAATGCATCATATAAAAAGTACATAAAGGTATAACCCATTAGCTGTACTATGCAATCTAAATACTGTGGAATAAATTAGATAGAAAACTTAGCTATAAGCATGTATGTTGATATTTATTCAACAGAGGAAAGGGCTATTTTTTTCTTTTCTGCACTTTTTTCCTTTTTTTCTTTTTTTTCTTTTCTTTTTAAATCTCTATTAATACATACAAATATGGACACACACACACACACACGTGTCTGCACGCGTGCACACAAGCAGTTTTGGCTGCCGTAAGCGGAGGTCCCAATTACACTGTTTTAACCATGGTTCTTGCTATGAAGGTGCTAAACACACTATTCCTAGCCAGCGTGACTGGGTTAAATTGTGCTATAGGGGTTTCTTTTGACTTTTTTTTTTTTTGTCTTTTTTAGCAAACTGGCAAGGCAGGGTGCTGTGTTAGTGCTTCTCTGGCCAAGGGGCACCTTGAAGACCCCTCACCAGAAGACAACCAACAAGCACTCAGTCCTGCAAACCAGTGCGAGCCTGAGGCTTCAGACCCAGAGTTATCCAATTCAGTGTAAACAGGGCCAACATGTCTCTCCGGCTCTCTCTTCTCTTCTCCCCCTGCTAGCCAAAAGCACGTCAAAGACACTTGAACGTACCCCTTAAATACGACAGCAATAGGAAATGTTGACAACTTATTTACCCACGCCCTATGGGTTGGATCCCTCAGCTTAGGTGCTGTGCTGAAAATGGGGACCGGGGTTGGAGGGTAGTGGTAGAGGCTGCTGCTTTACCACTCACAGCTGTGCATAAAGCAGAGACACCACCATAGCTCCCACTTTTCTGCACGTTTTTCTGGGGCAAGGGATGCACAGGGCCCAAAGCTACTTGCAGTTTTGCATGGGGCATTTCTCTCGCGCACACAACATGTCCCACCGCTGCGAGTTAGTGACAGACAAACAATCTTTCTACATACTGTGCTTTGCACACAAACATTCTTTTTTTTTTCTTTTTAAGAACATTAAAGTGAAGTCAGAAGTGCTTATACCTTGCGTATACATACATATATACATATGGAAATATATACATATATATATATGTATATCCCTTGTATAAAGCCGTTTCCCAGCAATGCACAGGGGCTGTGCAGTGGGGACGAGCCTTAGTGTTGTACGTGCAGAATGCTTGTGCCTCAGTGAGCGCTGGATCCAAGCACCTTGGATCCAGATCCCAGGGCTTTTCTGAGCTTTTTGAAATCCAGAGCTAGCTTCCAATTGCTTTTTTTTTTTCTTTTTGTTGAGGGCAGTATTGGAATTTACCTAGTTAACAGACATACCAGCCTGATCGTAATCAACCCACTGACCATTAATTCCAACCCTAACTTATTACAGGTGAATGGTACCAATCACAAACAGACTTTTCAGAGGCTCGCACAAATGTCTTTGGTGTACGTGTCTATTCTTTTTAAGGTAAAAAATAATAATTATTATTATAATAAAAATAGCTATTTTGTGTGCTGTAGCAGTTCTTGTATAGCTCACAATAAGTGCAGCTCTCAACCCCTCCCTCACCCAACCTCCCTCCCTTGCAAATGTTTGTTAAATAAGGATTAGACAGGTCAGACACCATTGTAGTGCAAATAGTAAACGATTAAAAATTTTTTTTACAAAATATAGAAATGTTTGGCTCCAGTAACTGGACAAACATGTTCCTTTCAAGTATCTCTCACTGAAGAATTTTGTTTTAAAACAAGTTACTTCCATTTGAAAAAAAGTCTTTGTTTTTTTTTTTCTTTCTCTCGCAGGTAAACAGTTTCAAACCAACTAGGTTGCATAGTTCTAACATTGTAAGCACCTTTACAAAATGTAACTTTTATTCTTTCATTCATTCTTTTATTTTTTTTATTTTTTTCTTCATTTTTCTTTCTTTTTTTTTCCTTTTTCTTTTTTTTGTAAATGTAGTGCAGAAGATGAAGGTGTATACACCTGCACAATATTGTCCCTTTACCAATATAAGTAAGTATATGGTTGTGTGTAGTGTGTGTATGTATAGTGATATGTACATAAATACATATACATAGCCACATATATATCCACACAGACACTACACACATACCCAGTTCCTTGGTAAATTGCAGGGGGAAAGTGCCAGTGAATGTAGTGTTCATACACATGGCTTTTCAAGGAATTTCAATGACAGTTTGGACTTAGTCCAAATTGCTGCAGATTAGATGAGCTGCTACCATGGCTTGAACTGATGGGTAACCAGGGGAGGGAACATAACTCCCCTTGTTACAAGTAATGTTTAATATACTACCTAAAAAGATAAGGAGCATACTGAAAGGAAGGGGAAATCCCCGACCCATACCGCCATTCAAATGCATCTCATTCAAGCCCTCGTCGGGAAGCTTTCTTTTTTCTTCCTTTGTGTATCTTTAGTCTTTCCTGATCCTCCTCAGGTCAGCTTTATATTTTTCCTTCGCTCTTTTTCTCTCTCTTTTTTTGTTTTTGCTTTTATTTCAGTTGATTGGTTCATTCAAAAAGGTTACACCATGTCAGGTCTTTCCTTTTCTTGGGCTTTTACAACATTTGCTTCTCAATGTAGCAGAGAAGGAAGAGTCATGTGTCTATGAGCAGCCACACTCCTCCACAATCATGTTCTGTATGTCTTTCTTAATGATGTTCTGGCCGTCGTCGTAGTACAGCATGGACATGGGCCGCAGCTTGGTGGGCACACAACACGACTTGAGGTTGGCAAAGGGGCTATGGCCCCGCATGCGATAATGGTTGATGACAGTGGAGTGGAAAGATAATGATGAGCCGGACGTGCCTGCTATGTGGCTGGGGCACTCTCCTTCGCAGTAGTTGGCATGATATCCTGTAGGCGCAATGATCCAGTCACTCCACCCGATGTCTTTGAAGCTGACAAAGAACTGCTTCTTGCAGCAGATGTTGACTTTGCCATCACACTCGAGGCCTCGTCTCCGCCTCCTGTGCTGGCGGTCCTCAGCGTGCCGGGCGAGCATCATCAGGAAGGGCCTATGCGATTGCTCCTTTTCCTCTTCCCCAGTGAATTCTCCGGCTTCCCTTTCCTTCCCTTCTCCGTCATCTTCCTTTTTCTTCTTCTTGCCCAGAAGCACCAGGCTGGCTCCAGTCTCTTGGCAGAGGTCACAGGCAATCCGCACATCTAAGGAGTTTTTGCCTTGATCCAGGAGTCGCTGCACACTGCTGGAGACAGGGAAGATGTGCCAACTGCTCTTACGGGTATCCACCGCCTTCTCTGAAATAAGAGTCTCACCCCTTTCACCTTTCAGACCTCCATCCTCCATCTCTTCTGCTCCTTCAGAGTTGCCTTTAGGCTGTCGCTGCTGCTGGAACAGGCGGATGGTCACTTTTGTCCTGCTCCGGTTGGCCTTGGAGACCTTCAGGAAGAGCCACACTTCGGCATGTTCAACCACTGATAATTCACTGCCTTCCTTGGAAATCTCAAAGTGCAACATTTTCTTGGCTGTGCCTGATTTGGTAAATGGAAATAGACAGGGAGAACTAGTTAGTATGTCTGCTTGCATTCTGTTAAAGAGATTTGGTTGGCACCGCAGGCGTGAAGTTCCCTATATTTCCTGCTTGACTACTTTCAATTTTTTTCCGATTTTTCTGTTCTAACCCTCCTTCACCCATTCCTCAGTTTCTCTGCCAAGTGTACCTTTCCTTTTGGGAAAATTCCCTCTTCAGGAAATTATGTGTTTCCCTGTTGTTTTTCAGAATTTTAACTGAAGCATTTGGTTATAATAATGATACCTTTGTTTTGATTTATGCAAAGCATTTCATGGCAAATAAGCATTAGAAGCTGCTAAGAGTTCATTTGCCTGAGCTGTCTTTGTGATCGCTGTTAGCTGAAAGGCAAAAATGCTTCTATGAAGACAGTTCATGAGTATATATTATATACATACAGACCTGTGCCTAATAGCAAAAGCTGAGGAGCAAGTTCCAGTCCCACCAATTCTTTGGGAATGATGTGGGAGCAAGATTTGTCCTTTCTCCCTCTGTAAAGCCTCATTCTTCATGTGGGTCTTAAAATGAGTTATAAATGTCAATTGTTACAAAAACAAAGAAATACTAAAATATAGGCCTCAGTTCTGAGAGGTTTGCAGAATTATATTGTAAAGAATTGCAGAATTTCAGCAGGCAGCCTCTTCATCCTGTGAGATTTTAGCTGTAGATCCTGTTCTTAATTTAACACACTGTACTCGCTGTGATTATAGTAATGGTGAACATACTGAGAAATGAGCTAAAGAAGAACTGTATGATTATGGGGATGGTTCTCTGGCATAATTGTATCAACTTGCTGAGATGTCATGATGATGATTATGATGGTGAGGGGGAGTTTCTCTGATACAGAGCTCATATCCCTGGCAGAAGTGGGAATGAATAATAAGGGCTGTTCTGTGATTTGATCACTAGAGCAAGAAGAAGTTAAGAGAGAATGAATTAGCTGGGTTTTTTTAATACTTTTTATAAGAGAAGTACTTTTTTTCTTTTTTTTTTTTTAAAAAAAAAGGAATGCAAAAATCCTGTTGCCATCTTTCTTTCCCAGTATGGAGGTCAGGATGGCCTGGGGTCACAGATTTGAAATACACACCTATCTGACTGTAATTGGATAGAAATATTCACAGCTGTCAGTTTGTCATTGATCCCATTATTGAGCCTGCCCATAGCTGCTGATCTGTTTCCCTGTACAGTAATTTCGTTTCTCACGGAACCAGAATTTTGCACCATTGTAGGGGCAAGTAGAGATCAGAATTGAAGGGGTAGAAGCATACTGAAAAAAATCACTTTTGTGGCAGTAGTGCTATCATCCTTGCATCCTCAAGTAAGAGCTACCCAAAGTATGAGCTTCCTTAGAGTCTCCAGGCTCCCCCCTACTCTTCAAGTGCCCACAGGAGTGGGTTAAGGTCACAAGAGACATGGCTCCTGAATTCACTTGAGAATTCAGGAATCTCTGGTGTCTAAAATCAGTGTGCAGGCCGTGTTACCCTTTGAGCTACCTGTTGCCTTCTGGTGAGTCCTGGCACGGACATATTCAGCTTTCCCTGCTAACCCCCAGCTCTCAGGTCAGAGAGGCAGACACTTCCAAATTAGCATGGCTAAAGGGCACAGCATTTTGTTTTTGTTTTCCCTCCAAGTGAGAGTGTGAAATTGTAGGCTTTGACTGTCACCGAGATAGGGAAACACATGGTTGGTGTTAACTGCTGCTTGCCGGCTTTGCCGATACCCATCTGCAGCATGGGTTGTATGAATTTCTCAGGGAGCTAAGTGAACCCGTAGGGCTGTGAAGAGGACAGAGAGGTACAGCAGAGGCAGAGCAAGCTGATCCATACTGTGGGGATACTTATTTCTGCTTAATTGAGAGCCATTAAGCAATGATTCCAAGGCAACTGCCTAGCCCTTGGGGCTAGCACCAGTGTTTCCATGCTGGAAACATAGCTATGGCAAAGCTGCCGGCTGCTGTAGAGCAGAAGGTAGGTGACAGACATCCATCCTCCTCCTTCCCGGGGACGTAGGACATAAGGAGTTATACAACAAGGCCTTCAAATACAAGGGAAGCCTGATTCAAGAGCCTGGCTGTATGATGAGAGATGTTGTAAAGAGTAGGCTATGTGGAATACTTTTGTGGCCTGGGAGAAGCATCCATCTCCAAAGGCAGCGTGCTGGCTAGGAGCCGGTTGCTGCCACCAGGACTCTCCCTCCAGCCCTCTGCTGCTTGCCCTCCTTCCCTAGGGTGGCTTTTGGGGAAAAAGAGCTTGTTCAGACCCAGCTACCCCACGTGCACAACAGGCCTGATTGTGTGCTCAGCCCAGGGTGTGCTGCCCTTCCTCAGCATGGGAAGACGCTGTGTGGCCCGTCTCATCGGACAGGTTGGACAGCCCTGGATTACAGAGCAGCTTAATGCTGCTAAGTGCTAATGCGTGATATTTTACATTCTGTTATTCTCATTCTAGTGGGAACTGGAAATAGTTGCGAAGTGACATACCTCCAGCAGTAAATATTCATATTACCTTATGCACTGGCCCAGAAGTGTAGTGGTGCAACCACTCTTTTTGACAGATACTACATGAAAGAAACAAGACCTCAAGAACTCTGCTAATTAGTTTTTCATATGCTCCAGTATGTGTGAAAGCTGTATTCTTTCTCGCTACTAGAAATATTGCAAGAGTGTGAAGCGAGTATCTGAACATGTTTGCAGTGCTTTTTCCTTGCCTGCTCCTGAGTTTGACCGAGCTAGTGTAAGACATGTCTCACCAGCATAACAACCACCATGTATGTTGTTAGCTACGTTTTCACACACAAATTCAGATGCTAAAGATTCAGATGCTAAAGAAAGAAGATTCAGGAAGCTTATGTGAGCCTAATATTTCTGCACAAAACAGAATACTCAGTCCTAAAACTTGCAAAATTAATAAAAGGTTTTATAACAATTAAAACAATCTGCCCCTTTCTCAGATCCTTACAGAGCAAGGCTGGGAAAAAATAATGCAGCTTTTCTGAATTTCTCCACATTCAGAATTTGTGCGCTGCAATCGTACAGCACAAATGGTATGAATCCTGACATCTTTATACAGTCACTGTGCTCAGACAAGCTCATTTTGAAATCACAGTTTGCGCTGTGCTGAAACCAAATTAAGACCCCTGGGTCTGGCTTAATATGAGCGTACATCCATGCTAGAGCAGGATCTTTAGAGATTTAGCAGTCTTTCCTTTTTGGTCCAAGTTAATGACCTTGTCTTAATCTTTAGAAAAACACAGTTTTCATCTACCTGAGAGAAAAAGAGAGGCCACGCTGAAAGTTGGCCATGGCATCCCTCCCATAATTATCCTTTATTTCTCCTTCTCTCCTGACTTTTCATCTGCCACAGCAGCTCCGCAAAGGGTCTTTTTCCATTTCTAATCATCCTGCTCCTCCTGCCTGACTCATGTGGAAAGACCCACAGCCCCACAGTGGTAATGCCCTCATCACTTCCACACTCATATAAACAGCAGCGTCGACATCCCAGATTGTTAGCACAGTAGAAAGCAGCTGGGAAAAGAGACGGGGGACTATTGTGGCCTGGTTTGATTGCTTTTCCTACTCTCCCCAAAAGCTTGGAGAATTCACCTCTCAGCTACACTGATGAGAGAGGGAAGAGGCTCTGTGGTTGCACAGGAACTGTGGAGCTGCCCTGGTGAATACTGTGAAAAATGATGAAAAATACCCAGCCATAAGAAGCCACACATATATGATAGCAGGGCTTACTTAACAGAAGGACAGCCTGGCATCAGTATCTAAAGCATGAGAGTTGGCACGTGCCGGTTTTGATCTTGTGTGGCTTTTGGGGGGCTGATACCTGATAGGGAGGGTGCCTTAGGGAGGGCCTGAACTGAAGACTTAAGAGGACGATTTTTTTTCTTTCTTTGTATAGTATGCTAGGATAGATAAATCTTTTTTCTCCATAAGCATATTTTTAAGTGTTATGGCTGCTTTTCTCACTTTTCTCACAATGAAAGTGGGTTATGCTTCCTGACATTATAATATGAGTTATTCTTAATTTATCTTAATACACAGTATTTAAATGTCACATAGAAAATGCTCACCATATAAGAAGGTGCTGTTACTTTAAATTTCCCTTCTTCACTGTTGCTTAATTTTGAGCTGTTTTTACGTTATACTGTAAGAAGTGAGCTGTTTTTCCATACAAAGCAAGCTTTTTTTTTTTTTTTTTTTTTTTCCTTTTTTAGTTGCTAACTTTACTACTGCCTATGTTTAGATTTGGGGGAATTTGTACTGTGTGCCAATCTGTAATTACATTCAAAAGCATCCTCTCTTCACTTCTCATTTCCGTTCCCCAGGAGACAGAGAAAAAAAAAAAAGGTTACTAGAAAGGTTCCTCTAAAGAGAGTGAAGAGAAGAGCATGGTTATTGAAAGATAATTGCTCAAAATGTTTACTAATGAGTGACCACTGGAGTTTAGATGAATTGTTCACAGTGCAGAATTTATTCCGTGAATTTAGTACTCTTATCGTCTAGCAATTATCCCTTGGGCAGACTGATTATTACAAATGTGTTATTACTGCGATTAGGCAGTGGCCATTTATGTGAATGCATTTCAGCCTATGGGCCACTGACAAATGAGTTATTCTAACTATTCATTACCCCTCGTATGTGACTGGTCATCTAAGTTGCCTAGTTTTGTTTCGCCTGCCTGGCTGGGTGACTGTTGCTGCTTCAGAAGGGAGGAGTGGTTATAGCACAAATAACAAACAGCAAATCTTTATGCTCCTATCCCCTTTGCTGCAAGCAGAAAGGGATTTCTAATGCAAGGAAAAATAGACAAAAATTGCAAAAAGAAACAAACAAACAAAGACTAGTCCCTAAAACATCCATGGGGAGAAAAGGAAAAAAGCATCAGCAACCTTATTTAAATACTTTTTTTTTTTTTGTCTTGGAAAATGAAACCAAAGGGGCAATGACAAGGTCAT